CACATGTATCTATGCATGTGTGTGGAGGCCAAAGGCCAGAGGTCAACATTGGGTGTCTTCTCCAGTTGCTCTTCACCTTTTTTTAACTTATTTATTCTTTGAAAATTTTATACATTTATACAATGTATTTTGATCATAACCATTACCTTCCTTCAACTCTCCCTAGTATCCCCTACTCCATCTCCTTCCCAACTTTATTTCCTCTTTTTTGTGTTATTAATAACTCCAAGTCCAATTAAGTGTTGCCCATGTATATGGATGTGGGGCAGTGCAATGGGGCATAGGCAACCTACCAGGGGTCATATCCCCAAAGGAAAATGGCACTCCCTCAACTCCAATAGCTCTTCCAGCAAGGGCCCTTGAAGGGCTCCTTCCCCCATACATGCTGGAATTTAGACTGGCTTTATCTTTCAAAGATCCTGAGTAGGTGACCACAGTTACTGGGAGTTGATGTGTTCAACAGCCATGTCATATCCAGAAGTCAGCATTTCACAGCTCTCCTCCCCCATCCACCAGCTCTTACATTCTTTTTGGCCCCTCTTCTGTAATGTTGCCTGAGCCTTGAATGCAGGGAGATTAATACAGATGATTCACCCACAGCTGAAAACTCACATTTACTTATACTCAGCCCTTTGACCAACTGTGACTCTCTGCATTAACCACTACCCACCTCGGGGGGTGGTGGGGAACCCTTCTCTGAACAAAGTTGAAAGCAACACAAATCTGGCAGCACAGGGAATCAAGATCCTGGAGGTACCAGGTGGCCTATCTCCACCTTTTCTTTGAGACAGGGTCTCTCACTGAACCTGGCTGGCTAGTAAATCCCAGGAATCCTCCCGTCTTTCTCTCCCCAGTGCAATGAACTCAGTAGCAAGTACTTTACCAACTGAGTCATTTCTCCAGCTCCTAAAATAGCCCCTTAAAAAAATCACCAAGCACCATTATAATCTTTAACCAGTGAGCACTGACTTCATGAAAAGTAGAATGAGCGTTCATAGTCAATCTGGTTTTTTAATTTTTTTAAATCAATATACAGAAAAAGCCAAGTTTTGGCCAAAGTTTCATAGAACATAGGGCTAGAACCTGAGATTTAAGATATAGTTAATAGACATGGAATGACTAAAAAAATTAGAAGAAAAACAAGTTCAAAGTAGGAGACAAAAGAATGGAGGTGGTATCAAGTAAACAGGAAAGCAAAGAAGCAAGCAGTGAGATGGCAGCAATTTGTAACTGAGGAAATGTCCCTTCTGTATAGTTGTTCTAGAGGTCAATGGATAGTTAGTTGCCTTTTATCATAAGATCAGTTTCCTTATTTCCTCACGTGTATGCACATGCAGGGTGTGTGTGTGTGTGTATGTGTGTAGGGAGGGAGAAGGAAAGACAGAGACAGATACAGACTTATTACATAATCTTGGCAGGTTTAGAGCTGGCTCTGTAGTCCATGTTGATCTTGAATTCAGAGAGCCATCCATCGACCTCTGCCTCCTGCCTGCAGATTAAGGGGATGCACCACCACACCCCGTTCTTTCCATACTTTTCTCTCTTCTTTTACTATTTGCCCCCCCTTTTTAAAAAATACCAGATCTCATGAGTACGACCTTGAACTTCTTATCCTTCCTCTACCTCGTAGGTGCTGATGTTACAGGCATGTACCACCACAACCAGTGTATATGGGACTGGGGATCAGACCGAGAGCATTGGGCATGCTAAACTAGCATTCTACCAACAGAGTCTCTCCCCAGCCCAGTAGTTTTTCACTTTATGATCCTGCCCTCTCTCCCACCCTGCTATCCATTCAGCTGGCAGGTTGGGTAACAGAGATTCCAGTAGTAAGAATTTATGGACCAGGTCATCATTTTGGTCATGTTCATTAGCTGGCTCTTAGTTCACACCTAGCTCTACAAGACTGGGTAGTGGATTGAGCTGTAGCAATAGGAGAAAATGTGTTTGGTGAAAAGGTAGCCTGCCTCTGCCACTATGTTTCACTTAATTAAAACAATGCTGAAGTGAGATTATCGCCTGACTGAATTGAAATTACATTTAAAAGATATGACTCCACACCATCAAGAGTCCACCCTGTGAGGTCTTTCCAATTGCAATGATGGATTTATGTTAATTTACTTGAACTCTTTCTCATTCTTATGTGTAACATAACCATGAAAAGATCATTATAGTCCTCTGGATAGGAATGGAGAAATACTTTACACCACCATTTATGTCTCTTAATGAGATGAAAAAAAATGTGTTAGGCTAAAACATATGTGCATCTCCAAAGTGAACTTCCAACCTCCCACTTTTGTTTTTCTTCTTCCCTGTAGCCCCAGCTGGCCTGGAACTCGTTATGTAGACGAGGCTGGCCTTGAACTCAAAGAGCTCCGCCTGCCTCTGCTTCCCCAAGTGCTCTGATCAGGGTGTGCACCACCACACCCAGTGTCAACCTTTCACTTTAAAATATTTTATTATTTTTATGTGTATTGCCTACGTGTATGTAAATGCACCTGTGTAGACACCAGAAGACAGCATCAGAGTCCCTGGAACTGAAATCACAGATGGCTGTTAGCTGCCATGTGGTGCTGGGAATCAAACCTGGTCCTCTAGAAAACCAGTCAGTGCTCTTAACCACTGAGCCATCTCTCCAGCTCCTACCTCCCACTTTTAAAAGTCATCTTAAAAAAGACAGTTTTATTTTATTTATACTAGTCCCTGAACATTGGTGACATCTACCACCTATATCCATTTCCAGAATATAACTGGGCACCGCATGGAATGATGCTAAGACACACATACATGTGTATCTGTATTCATGAAATCTTCAGCCCTAGATAATGTTTTTATTACCAGTATTTTATTGGCCTGGATATCAAGGCACAGGGCAGTCCACCAACTTGGTAAGAGCTGGGCAGAGAAAATTAAGCACTCAGACTGCTAGGGAAAGTCTCTAGTAATTTCCTGAGTTCAAGTCCATAGGTTCTGTTAGTTTTTTGTCATATGCTATTCCTTATATATAATTTTATTTTTTGAGAATCTCATACATATTTGCATTATTGCTACCAACTATTCCTTATTCTTCCAAATACTTTCATTTGGGCCTTTCACGGCATACCTTATTCTCCCTTCCTTGGAACTTTATTAGATCTTTATTAAGTGACCAAGCTGGTTTGAGTTTGTAAAATCCAATAGTACCTATTGTTTTACTTAATAAAAGCAAACCCCTTGATAATTAAAGCATGAGGCAAAAGCCTAAATTAGCTATTTCCCAGAGCAAATCTGCAATTTATGCAGAAAAATCTCTCAGTTTCCTTTAACAGGGATATATTCCATATAGACACATATTTCAGATATTAAACAGCAATTTGCATTTTAGAGAAAAACTGGACCTAGTATCTCCTGTTAAGTTTCTGATGTCTACTACAAAACTGGAACAACTTTTTAAAAAAGATTTTGAAATATTAGTCATTTTGAGCCACTCAATTCACATGGGAGTCAAAGCAAGTGGACCTCAGTATCTCAGAAACAAAACCTTGATCAGTTTATCTCTTTAGCCTACTATGAATCTGTTGATATGGAAACTTGGGGGAAATAAACACTGAACTGGTGGGTCACAGGCAGCACTTGTTCTATACTATCTAATTAGCTGTCAAGTCAGGCAAAAAGTAATCTGTAGAACAAGTTTGTGGTTCGGACACTGTATCCATTATACAGAAAAAGAATTAGGAAGAATAGCTTGTGACAGCTACTGAAAAATGGAATCTTCTAGAGAGCTTAGGGCTGAATTCCTGAGGTTGTTTTCCTTTCCATTTACGGTAGGCCCCCAGCAGGTGCTCAGTACAGGTATGCTAGAAAAATCTTGGTGGAATTTACACAAAAGAAATAACACAGGAGTTAAGTTCTCTCACTGCTAACTATAAACCTGATGACTTCTGCAAGTGGTTTGAGCAAGCATTACCTTAGCTCGCAGGAGCACATTTAAAGTGCGAAAGCCAGATACTTCATATTGTGAATGTATTTCCTTGAACTTCCTTCCGTCTACTGGGTGGAGACCTGCGGTTCGGGCACCTGCAATGTCCGCCCATTTCCTTCCCCCTCTTCCGAGCTCCGGTCCCCAAACTCCTCCAGCCGGTGGCCCACTCTGTTAGCTGGGGTCTACTCTCCCATACCATGCTTCCAGGACACAAAAAGGACATGCTTTGTATGTAGTCAACCGCTGCAAATGAAAGCTCTCTTGGGGGTCAAAGTAGCCAACGAAGAACGACCCAGTACGTTGAAGCCTGATCCACGGCCTCGCCTCGGGTTTCCACCCCCACGTCCAACCCGCTAGCTCCTTTCCCCTAGGGAACCGCCTTCGAGAAGAAAGCGGCCGCATCTCCAGCCTGGCGGCCCACCTCGCCCCCATCGCGGCGCCCACCCATTGTCTCCTAGCGGGCTGGCACTCGGCGCAGATCCCGAGCTCCGGATTGGGAAGGCCAGGCGTCACTCAGCCTTGGTCAAGGGGCCGAACGCCACGCTCTTTTCCAAGCCTTAAAAGGTCTAGAGGCCGCTCTCCCCGGGCCAGCAGGTAAAGCCTGACGGCGGAAGGGAGTGGCCGAGCGCCCAGGTCGCCACGCCCGGCGACAAGAGCCGAGGGCGGGTGGGCATCGGGATGCACCCAGCTCCTGGTGTTCTCTTCCCTCAGGCCTGATCATAATGCCCGGACCGCAGGCCCGCCATCCCCCGGCCCCGGGGATAGCCTGGGGGCAGTTAGCACCGCGGAGGGCGGGACGGCCCGGCTGCAGGGAGTGGAGAGAAGTGAAAGGTCCCGGATGTGCCTGCACCCGCGCCCCCCGCCCCCACTTTCTGGAGGGAGTGTCTTGCGCCGGCGCAGAAGGCCCGGTCGCCCAGCGGAGGTGGGGGTGAGGAGAGGCTTCCTTCCCTCAGGCTGAGGCTGTGAGCCCGGGAGGTAGCTGAGGAGAGGGTGTGGGCGGTCCTGGGTGGTGGCTGGGAGAAGAACCAGGCACCTTCTCGCCCGGGCGTAGCCGAGCGCGGTGGGGTGGCGAGGGCGGGCTGGCCGGGCGCGCGCGCGCGCTAGGGAGCCGTGGTTGCGCTGGGCCCCGAGAGCTGTGGGCACCAATCAACGGTTGCCATAGCAGCGTTTGACGTCATCGTGCGTGTGGTGCCCCTGCTGCCGGGGCTGGTGATTGGAGGAAACCCCGTGTCTGCGGAGCGGCTGTAGCCTGTGAGCAGCGAGATCCAGGGACAGAGTCTCACCCTCGCCGCCGCCGCCGCCCAGAGACTGCCGAGCCCCGGTCCGTCCGCCGCCGACACCCACTCGGGACACAGGTAAGAAGCTCGGCCGCCGCTGCGCCATCCCACTGGGTGCTGCCCGGAGCCGGGCCCCTCGCTCCGCGCAGCCTTTCGTCCGCCGTGGCGGTGCGGGGTCTTCTCGGGCGGACCGGGGCGGCGGCTTCCTTTCCGCTGGATTCCCGCCGCTACCTCCGGCCACTTGCTTCCGGCCCGATGTCTCGGCCTGCGTCGGTGCTCGTTGCTTGTCCGGGTCCCCGGGGGAGAGGGAGGATGGTGGAGGAGGCGCCCACGCGCGACGTCCCTGGGGAGGGTTCCCGAGGGCGGACGGGACCGGCCGAGGCGCCACCGGCCGCCATCTGCCCCCCAGCGTCGCCCCAATTGGGGCGATCGTGACTCGGCGGTGGCGCAGGTGAGGCTGCCCCCCCACCCACGGGTCCCCGCCGTCCCTCCCCCCGCCGCTGCGGCGCGGGCTACC